GAGGATTATTAGGAGTGGGATGCCATGATTGATTGCTTGAGATCAGGGTACACCAAAACCTATTTTTTTTCCCTCAAAATTAAATTTTTTTTTTTTTTTTTTTTTATTTCATTTTCCTTTTGGAATGTCTTTTTTTTTTTTTTTTTTTTTTTTTTTTGGGGGGTAGAGTCATTTTTTTTTTATTTCTACATACAACATACAAAGAGCTGTATCATGCATTCATATACCTCTTCTCCCTCCAGCTATGGGTTAATTAGTCAGACTTGTATCACTAAATCATTATTATCTTAAAAAAAATAATTCTTAAAATCTCTATATATTTTCTGGCTTTTAAATAACCTTGATAATCTGTAGAAAATGAATCGATCAATTGAAAAGAGAATTGATCACTTAAGCATACATTGTGCATGGGAAGGAGGGAAAATATCATACAAGTTGCAGTATTTACCTTGCATAAGGAGTATAATGGGGGGGGTGATAAATGTGCCAGTCACTACCTTCCCTTGGTATGTGTTGCTGTGTTTTTAGTCCTTTTTATTTATTTTTACCTCTTATTTTTAGCTCACTATATTTGCACCTTCAGCTTTCAGGTTTTTTTTCTTATCAATTGATACACTGGCATATGTGCTAAAAAAGTATGAAATAGCCATGATGGACTCATTAATTTTACAATGCTACAAAACTGAATTTCTTGACAATTTATCTACCAGTTATTTAAAAAAAAAAAAAACTTTATTTATTTATTGTGTATAAACACTGACTTAATTTAAAAAGCTTTTTACAACATTCATTGAAATGATGTGACAGTATTTAGCCACAATGCTCTCACTTTTGTTCTACACTGTATAACTGAAATGTTTTGGATTTTTCTCCAAAAAAGAATAATCATCCTGGTTCATCTACTTAAAATATTTTGCACCTCGTTTTTTTTTTTTTTTTTTTTTTTTATTATAACTGATGAATTTTTGTTCTTTTTTGTGTTAACACTGATCTTGAATACAGTATGAAGTGTGTGCTGAAAAGTTCTTGGCCTGGCCAAATAACAAAACAAATTTTTTTTTTTTTTTTTGGAAGATGCTTCTTGGTCAGGTTGAAAACTTTTCAGCACCTCTTTCTATGATGATAAAATTGATACAGATGTGAATGCTAATCCAAAAGTAGGTTCCTCCATTTAGCCACAGTTAAAAATTTATTGTCTGTAGACACTGAATAACATTATTACTCTTTCTTTTAAATTTCTGAACAAAATGAATTTGCAGATCAACATGGGAATTTTGGAAATGTCTTTCGATCTATCTCGAGAGAATATGGTATTCTTTTTGCTTTTGATGGAATTTTAGATGTTTTGTCTTTGATATGATGCTGCCTGTCTTTGAGATTGTTCTTCTCTTTCCTGTTTGTTAATCTTTTTAACTTTATTTTTTTTTGTTTCTCCTTTTTCTGTTTGTACATGTCAACAAAGAAAAAAAAAGAATGTGCATTTTATATCCTTAATGGTAGGCAAGTAGCTATTCAATGGAAGATGAAATTTAATATTTACAAAAAGACAATGGTAATCTCACTTTGCTTACCATCTGCAGAAACATTTACATTCAGTTCAATTTTGATTCTTAAATGAAATTTGATTAAAACAAGAAAATCAAATTTGAACTTTGCTCACAGTAGAAGTGGAATAAAAATGGAGTTTTGTAAGATTTTGAATCAAGTTTACAAAGCCAGGAAATTATCTGTGCTTGGATAAAAATAATTCATAATTTCAGTTGACTATGATTGGATGTGCCCACAGTAAAGCACTAAATGTGTGTGTGTACATACACACACATATATATATATATATATATATATATATATATATATATATACTAGCAGTAGAGCCTGGCGTTGTCCCAGTAAGAGATAGATCAAGTATCCACCATCATAAAGACTGAAAAATAAAATTGACAAAGATTATTGTTTAAGGTTGATGGACACGCATCTCTTAATTAGTTTTTTTTTTTGTTTTGTTTTTGTTACGAATTGGTCAAACCCAGACTCAAACAAAAACATTGTTTTCAATCGTTATGAGTCTACCGATTGAATAGAATTTTATTATAAACAATTGTCTTGTAAATGGAATTTTTAAAGCATTCTGAATGTAAAAATAAAGAAAAAGTGTGCAAGACAATAAGAAACACTACCTGCCAAAAAAAAAGTGAAGTTTTGTTGAAATCGGTTGAAAAATGTAGGAAATCTGATCCCATATATAAAGGAACACACACACACACACACACACACACACACACACAACCTGGGTTTTATAAGTATAACTCGACATGAGTTGTCCCCCTTTCATTCTGGCGACAGTGATGCCTCTTAATCATGTTTTCAAATTGATTTCATGCAGAAACAATTTGTTTTTCCAATTTTTAGCGCTGTCAGAACCACCGCAAGGTAATTTTATGTAGTCCTGTGAAGTTTTGTTGAAATCGGTTGAAAAAAGGTAGGAAATCCAATCCAATATATAAACGAACAGACCCCCCCCAACCTGGGTTTTATAAGTATGATATTAATTAAATGTTATTTTGAATGTCTACTTATATATTGAGTACAGACTCCATTTATTTATTAAGCAGTATAATTTTATTTACCTCTACTGGCCTAATTATATATATATATATATATATATAAAAAGAAAGAACAGTAAGATATATAATCCGGTGTTCTTATAGATATTTTTATTTTTACAAAATTTTATAGTGCTCAATGTAAATTTACAGAGCATTAATATTATTAATTAATTGATTTAAAATGTTTTTTTTCGCTACGCAGTTCTAACCATGTTTCAAAAATGGAAGCTAAAAGCCCCAAATTTAATTTTGTAATTAAATTAAAGACATTAGTTACATTTCATCCTCAAGTGAATTTTGGAGTAACTTTTAAAATTACTGGGTTTTAAAGACACAGCTAAAATCATAATTCACGTTTCCAAGGTTACAGATGAATCCACTTCCACTAGACAAGGGGGGGGTCTGTCTGTTCATTATGTCTGTATTGTTAATTTGTATATGAACATCAAGACACAATACAAATATATTCTGATGCTCTCTATAGGGGTTCCTTGGGTCCTGCTATAATTCCAGAAGCTCTTTGTTTAGAGTTTATACATTTAGTAATTGAGTGGGTTGGATTTAGTTTTGACAATACTATCTACAGCCAAATTGACAGGGTTTTGATGTGTAGTCCTTTGGGTCCAGCGAACTTTTTTTGTTGGTCTTTATGAGCAACTTTTGTTTGAGAAATGCTGTTAGCTCCATGTATGTTCATGCTATGTTGATGATACATTTTCTGTCTTTGATTCCATCAGTGATGCTACAGCCTTTCCTACTCGGCTTAATTCCCTTCATCCATTCTTGCAATTTACCATTGAAGTGGAGAATGATTGTACTTTGCCTTTTTTGGACATTCTTGTTGAACGTAGATATGGTTTCTTTATTACCTCTGTTTATCATAATTCTACGTTCACAGGTCTGTAAACTAATTGGAATGCTGTAGGAATGGCTCTCCAACATAAGTCGAGGACTCCTTGCATATTGTAAATGTATTTAATGAGTAGTTGTGTTTGAGTGGATATCACTGTTTTTTAAACAGTGAAAGTAAGGTCTACCTGGTTAGAGATCAAATAGTTTAAACATATTTTAGATAAAAATAATTTGTAAAATTTGTTGGGCAACTCCTTAAATTCAATATTTATATTCATTTATCCATAGTCAACTGAATAACCTTCACTTTTTTTGCATGATGACCTATGCTCAAAAAGAGTGGGCTATTACAAATTCTTCTGTGAGCAGTAGAAATGGCAACTTCTAGTTATAACTTTGCCAAATTTTAACATAGGATCAGGCAAAAAAATGGTCTGCAGGTTGTTTTTTCTCTCTTGATACTGATATTGTGGTATACTTGCTTTGTAATTTTTATTGTTTTATAAAGTTAGTTTTACAAAGTTAGTTTTACAATTTTAATAAAACCATAATAAAACCATCTTGATTACATAGTAAATAGTAAATTTCAGTTTGTTTATATATTTTTATAATTTAAAAATATAAAACATTTTTGATAGTTAACTCTCATAATATTCTTCTAATCTTGCAAATAAATAATTTATTTTATGGTTCAAAAATTAATTTCTATATTCTTATAAAAAATATTGTCCTTGTACCTTTTTAAAACTTTGTGAATAAACAATTGACTAAATTGTGCCTTTCCTATAAATAATTTCATGGTAATAGATTTAAGCGTACTACCTGTTTAGTAGCAAAGTATCATCATTTTACAGTTGAATTGACTAAATGTAATCATAAGTTCTATAATAAGTTTCTTCTCTTGCACTCTTCTGACTTCTTGCTTCCCAGTTTGAACTTCAAAAATTTAAATGCAATGTATATCATTATCTTCTTAGTTCTAGTTCTTTTATTGTTCTCTCTTTTTAATAATTTTTTTTCTCATATTCTCTCACACTCACTAATCTCTTGTATCTTAGTGGCTTTATTGCCTTGTTTGGAGTGAAATGATTAAAAAAGAAAAATAATAGTGTTTAACATTTTTGTTGTCAGTTCTCTAGAAGAAAATGTGTTAATTTAGTTTCATGTTATGGTTTTATTAAAATTCAAAAAATGTCTTTTTAAAACAATTAATTACCAAAGCAGTATACAGTAATATGCCAAGGGAAAATAATACATCGTTTTGACACAGTGGTTTTTTTTTTGTTTGGTCCTAAGTTAAACTTTACCATATTTTTTTTTCTTTTAGCAGAAGATAAGTATTAAATAATAAACTTGCAATTGCTTTATCTGTTCACTGGCTGAATGAAATCTTGGCATCTGCTTACTTACTGTTATGCCTGCTACTCCTGTTTGTTATTCCTTTTTTAAATCATCACCCTCCCCACCTTTTGCATGCAAGAATTCTGAAGAATTACCAGAATTGTGTTCAGAACTTAATCTTTGGTACTTGTCTTGTTTCAGATGGAGGAATGTCATTATTAAAAAAGCCATCGGCAGCCATGAGCCGTTTAATTAGTTTGGTTGATAAATCCAGTGCTGAAGGTGACAATGCACTTTGTGAAAAGACCTTAAGCCGACCTGTAATGGCCTTTGTTATTCAACGCCATGATCTTGACAACCTACAAATAGCAATGCGCCATGCTTTGAGGAAAGCTGTATGTAGGGTATTTGCTATGCAGGTAATTCTAACACTTATCCCTTGGTATGTTTCTTTAGAAAATACTTTTCATAATAGCTGATCCACAACAACAAATGTGGAAATAATTCTCATTGTGGTAAAATAAATAAAATGCAAAGATTAGAAATGCTGCTAAGGTTTAAGCTTTTCTGTGTGTGTGTGTGTGTGGTGGGGTCATGACCCATAAAAACTGTGTAGTCTGTCTATAATATGTGAAAAAACTGCTAAAAATAATGGAAACATTATTAATAAAAAAGCAAAGAAAAAACAACACTCAGTAACATCAATTATGAACATGGCCACAATGTGCTGACCGTGTTTGGAAAAAAAATATTCCTATAACTCTAGAAACACATAAAATAACCCATACATTTAGTAGAAATAAAATTCATTCTTGATAAATGGCTAAGAGTATAGCTGGAAGCGTTTTGGCATATAAAATATTTGAACAATTTTAATATAATTTACATCATGAAAAATTATACAAAAAACTTCAGCACAGCACCTTGTCAGTCGTTTTTAATGAAACTTACATAAAAGACACACACACACAGGTTGCGATGGATAAATTGTCATCTAAATTATGCAAAAATGAAGATAACACTGACCTCTCATTTTAACAGATATATTTACCCAAATTACACAAAAATATCTTGAAATACTAAAGAGTAAATTTATTCAATAAAATCACCATTGGCTTCAACCATAGCCTCCAGATGACTTTGGAATTTCCTGCAATTCTTCTGGACAGTCTCTTTCTTTAAGTTGGTAAATGCTGCCATAACCATTGCCTTCAGTTCCACTTTGATGTTACAAGGATTTTTTGTTGGTCTCTCACTCAACTGCACCCAACACATAATAATCAAGGGGATTGTAGTCTGGGGAGTTAGGTGACCAGAAGTAGGGTGTGATGTGGTTGTAGAAATTGTCTGACAGCCATGACACGGTTCTCCTACTTGTTTGGCATGGAGCAGAGTCCAGTTGCTAGACATAGACTTACGTGAAATTAAAATTATAAAATAGCAACAGTTAACCCATCACACTGTGTGTGTGTGTGTGTATGTATGTATGTGTGTGTGTGTGTGTGTATATAATGTGAATATAATTTTCCCTCTAACTCTTAGAAAAGTCATTAAAATATGCCACATTATTTGATGTTAAAATCTCTTGCTGTCTTCAGTTTCTGAAATATTTTAACTACAGTTTATATACAAGGAATAGATGTGAATATCTGCATAATTTTGGATAATGCAGAATATATAGGCCACGCCTCCTATATATGTATGATGTGAATTGACATTCTTATCTGTTTTTAAATGATAGAGGCAAATAAAAAACACGAAACCAAACCTTCTCTAGATTAATAATTTATTTGTCTACTTTTCAGGGTCTAAATTGGCTGGTGAGGACGGTGACCCAGCCAACGTGTATTCATGACTTGCTATGGTTTTTTGTGTCCTCGTTGTCTCCAACATTTGAAGAAGAGGAGGAGGAAGAGGAAAATGAACAACAAGTGAAAGAAAAGAAAGAGAAAAGAGATCAAGAGGTAAAATTCCTACAGTTTGTCCCTTGGCCCCCCCCCCTTAACTCGACCCTCAAATTTGTCCCTTTTTATGTAAGGACTTTTCTTTTTTTATTGGTTTGAATGTTTTGCATAGTTTTGTTGCTACTGACGTAAACTTTCTTATCAGTAATTACGAGGAAAATAATTTACCATGTGGATTTTGTTATCCCAGTGGACTATGGAATAAAATTTTTTAAAAAGTGAAAAAAAACTACCGTATATGTTGGCATACAAGGCGACCATTTAACTTTCCCCCCCAAAAAAAAATAAAATAGGGGGCCGTCTTATACTCCAGGTATAAAATGTGAACCTTAAATACTGTGGTTTATGGTAATATATTAGCATGGGAGATTGTTGACAGTAGACTAACTCCTGCTACGACGCCTTTTTTTTCAATGAGGATCAAAAGCACAACTGAATGTATGTCTCAACAAGCTGTTTAAAAATCACATTTGAAGAACAGTGAAACCAGTGGAAGGTTAACAGGAAAAAGTCATTCAGGCTAGTGTAATAGCTTACTGACCCCCCCATGAAGTATTGTAGATTGTGGTAGTTAATTGACAATGTCACCCCACCCTACTGTTTTTTTTTCATTAAGTACAGAAAAATGAATGAAAAGACTATATGTTTTTACTGAATTTATTTAATAAATTCAATACAGTACATTTTAAAATACGATTGGGTGGGGGGACATCTTGTATGGCAAATATAGCCTGAAACCTACATTTTAACCTGAAAATTTGAGAGTTGTCTTATATACTTAGTTGCCTTGTATGCCAGCATATATAGTAAACAAATATCTGGTTATCACCAGATGAAAGAAGAAATTAAGCAATATGTAGGTGGCAGTTGTACCACTCCTTGTTGGAGTACTGGGAACAATCCTAAAAATTCTAGTGAAAAGCTACAAGAACTGGAAATTTGAAGAATTGAAGCTATCCTGGAAATATAAAACTGAGGAGAGTGCTGGAATATTAATCAGGCTTGCTGCCATTCAATAACCAGTGCAAACCATTGGCTGCCATCTTAGTTTGAAACACGAGGAATGAATGAATGAATGAATAATAATAATAATAAATGCCCTGTCTAAAGCTTCACCAGGCATATGACTGTCATGACTTCTGATCTTAATTGATTGAAGTTGTGTTAACATGTACATATTTTCTCCTCAGAAAAGTAGTTGCCTGACCATGAGTGGTTGGGCATGTCCCTATCAGGCTAATGCATTATGCATCCATGTTCATGAGCAGAAGTATTGGAGAAGCATCAAAGCTTGGTGTTGAGAGGATTTTTCTTTCAAGTTTGAACAATGAGGGAGCCAAGGTAACTTGTGAGTCTGTCAAAATGGGAATATCCTTGGTTGGAGACTGTGGCGGACATGAGACAGAACCTGGGACGAGCACAACTGGTCGCGACTTGCCTTGTCCCCGCCAAAAAAGAGCCTGTATTTGCTTAGCATGTAAAGCTACTGCAGTTGAAATGAGGAGGGAGAGAAAAAAAGCACTTACCGCTCTGCCGTAATCCATCCTTGGCCAGATAACGTAAAAGAATGAGGGGGGACTGGCATCGCATTTTTATGCAATAACGATGCAATGCATTATGGGACATGGACGCAATGAATTATGGGATCACGTGAAGACTAAGGATTATGGGTATATGAACAACTATAAAACAACTACTTTTTTCCGAAATCGGGAGTTCTTGAGGGGCGTTCACGGTTGACGGCAAGAACGGGCAGTTAGTGTGATTTGGAGACAGAACTCAAGAAGGAACGACTCAAGGTTGAAATACCAGCTGGGAGAGCTTGAATTTACTCACTGGTTACTGTTTTCTTCATTCGCCTCAGAGACTGTCTGAGTTAGCTTGGGTTACTTGACCTGAAAGTATTTGGCTAAGATCAAAGAGTATTATCTGTTCTTATCAGCTTAATCTGATTCTCTCCTTTTCTATCTTCCCTTCTTTCTTTCTTTCATTTTCTCACTGAAATCAAGTAGTGTCATTTCTCCTCTTTCCACATGATCAAAATGGAATAGTCCAATATTTATGAGGTATTGGCAGGTTGTAACAGTTGTGTGAATAAACGAAGGGATGGAAAAGCACAATTATAATAGGATAATAAATATCCTGCCTAAAGCTTCAGGCATGGATGTCATGGCTTCAGATGTTAATTGTTTGGAAATATTAAGGTGTACCTAGTTTATCTTGGTGAATTAACATAGGCTGCAGTAAATAATGTTCAATACCACAGATGTGCTTGTCATTTGCCTGACCATAAGCAGTTGGGCATCTCCCATAATGGCAAATGCACTGGATATCTGTTTATGAGTGGGAGTAGTGGGGGAACATCATGGCTGGGTTTTTTTGTTATTTTTTTAAAGTTTGAAAGATAGATAAATGAGCTTAGCAGCTTTGGTTTCACATGTAGATATTTGGAAACATCCTTAGTCTAAGACTTCTTGAGCAGACCTGACCTGAAGATATTGGTGACTAAGTCTTAGCTGTATGGTCAGATGCTGATTTTATCAAAACCTTTCACCATATTGTGCATATTTGACAGTGGTTTGTGTACTTAGTATACACTTAGGAGACTGGATGACCTGATGGGTTCATTGGGATTTGGTTATTTGTACCTTTAGTGCTTCTTAATATTTGATTAACCCATTCACTGCAGGATTACAATCACAACAGTTCTATGGCTCATCTACACATTGTGGAAATTTCCATAATCCACATATAAATATATATATATATATAGAATATAAATTAAAGTTGATGCTACATTTTGGCAATGAAAACTGTGTTGCTGCTGTTGTTTATGGGTTAACAGATACAAATGTTCAGGTAAATGGTTTAATTTTATTTAAATAATTTAATTTTATTCACTTACAATCTTGTTTATCATGTGAACTTTTGCAAAATTTGACATTTACTATTATCCTTAGTATTTTTTATCAGAAGAAATCTATTTTTGCTAGCGACTTCTAAATTTTAGTCTTTATTTTATTTTAGTTATTCACTGCTGAATTGTTATAGCATTGTTCTTAGGCTGTGCTGGCCCATTTGGGGGAAAATAGGAAATTGCCATTTAATGGAAATAAATAACTATAAAGACACAGACTGCAATTTCCTATGGGCACCACCGTTTTGCTTTTTCAGACTAAACTAAATGATGCTTCCAACATGCAATATAAGGAAAATACATCACAGAACAGGTTAACTTTTATGCTACAATATGTTTGTTGGTTTTGAAATAGCACTGAGTGCTAGTTTATAACACAAATGCTAGAGGCTGATATTTCACTGAGTTGAAAATGTATATATATATGTCAACAGCAGGCAGTGTAAGTTTTGTAAAGATGTATAACAATAAAGTGTTAAAGTTTGTTAAAAAAAAAAAAAAAATTTTTTTACAGACCTGTCCCCCATCACCTCTTCTGTTATTTTTTTTTCTCCTTTCATTTATATTTGTTTTGTTATTTTAGGATGTCCCTTTGTGCGACCATCCTCTTGCAGATGTGGCTATTGCTGGTGCTGCAGTTCACCCACTACCTATAACATTCCATACCTTCTTACAGACAGTTGCTGATGTCATGATGCACTTGCCTGTTGGTACAAGTCTACAGGTCAGTATCAAAAATCAAAGACCTTTTCTGTCGATTTTTTTTATTTATTGTTTATGCATTGCTTTTTATTGTTTATGCATTGCTTGAAAGCCATATATTTGCTGCTTTGGACCAGAGTTATTTTTGTATTTTACATCAAACTCTTATGACTGATATTTAGAGACTAGTATCTTATCCGTAGCCATAAGATAAGAGGTATTACTTTATACCTAGCAAATACTTCTTGTTTTAGTGGTTGCTCCTGATTGTTGCTGGCTTTGTTTTGACAGTAAAGACATTTACTGCTAATCTCCTTTACTGTAAAGGGAAGTTGATGTTGCAATCAAGGTCAAACAAGAGAAAGAAAGGGCCAGGAAAACTTTGTTGTTTTACCAAAATGAGGAATAAAACAACAATGTCTAACAATTTGAATACAATTTAATAACAACAATGGTAATAATTAAGTGATAGATGTTTTTTGTAAAAAATCTATTTAAATAGAGTTTGAGATAACAAACATTCGTGTATGTAAACATGTGAGAGTTTTTGAGTAATATATGTTGATGCAAAGTTATATATATTGTATGTGTGTGAGTGTATGTGTATATATTTATGGATTAAGATTTTTTTTCCTGTTGTCATTTTAGTTGGTGTTTGGAGCAAAACTTTTATCTCACTTGTGTTGCTCTGAATGAGATCCCTAATGAGAGTGATATCTATGGCGTGGTGTGAATGAATGTGTCGTGTGTTCCTGTACATGCTTGCTGTGAGTCCTTCTGTATATGTTCAGTACAAGTCCCTAGAGTGACTTTATGTGTGTTCTTATACAGGCCAGAGATTTAAACTTTAAAGTATTTTTGGTTGTTATTCTTTTTGTTGAGAAAGTTCTCATAGTGTGCTTACTGCTAGGTTAGCATGGACTAGGTTGAAAATTTCTACCAGGAAAACTTGTGAAATGACCCAGTGAAAAGGATCCACTTAATCCCAAAACAAGGAACTGAGGATATCTAATATTTACCAGAAGAAATTCTAGCAACAAAAATGCTTTATTTAAAACTTTCCAGCATCTACACAATATTTTATTTTATTTTTTTTTTATTTTTCCAGTTATTATTATGGGCCATCACTTAGGGGCCCACTGGGAAATTTCCCGGTATCCCAGTCTGGCACTGGTGTGCATAATACATATGTGTGTGCATGTGAGTACTATACAGATGCATATATGTGCGTACATGAATAATAAACAAAAGTGATGCTGAAAATTTCTTGGCTCAACTAAGAAGAGTTCTTAAAAAAAAAAAAAATCTTGTTTGTTATTTTGGTCAGATTTTGGAAAGTGTTTTGGTGAAGAACATTTCAACATTAAAAAAAAAATTTGTTTTATATATATATATATATATATATATATATATATATGGATTACTACCACACACAAAAGACAATGGTTAAACATAAGAAAAAAATTAATTCCTTTAAATAAACATTTTTGCCTGATGAAGGCCAAAAGACCTGAAACACTTGTAGCAAAAAAATTTGTAAATTAAGTATAATTTGCATAAAAAAAAAATCCACATTACAACCAAAAACGTTTGTGGCTTCTCTTTAAAATATCAATCTATTGATCACTATATATATATATATATATATATATATATATAGTGATCAAATACAAATGAAAAACAGATTGGAATCTGACGGAATGATAGGAAATACTTATAAATCTAACATATTTTGCTTTTATTAAAGATTTTTTCTCCATGTCTGATTCTCTGATAAAGCTTTAATAAAAGTAAAACATGTTAAATTTATAAATGTTTCTTATTCTTAAATACACACACACACACACACATATATATATATATATATATATATATATATATTACTTCAAAGTTAATTTTAGTGGATACCCCATATTTGAAATGGCTGTTTTTTTTGTTTTTAAACAATCATGTCTACTGGCTTCCACACTCACTCAAGGAAAATATGCTCATCACCAGACATGAGTTCTTATTAAGTTTTGTGGACATGTAGGCCAGTAGCTGTAATACACTTTTATTTAACCCCCCCCAAAAAAAAACGAAACAATCAGATGTCTATTTCAGACATGGGTATCCACTAAAAATAATGTTTGAAGTAAAAATGAATTCTTTAGAAGTATGTATCTATGTGTGTACATGTATATATAATAATGTATTCTTTGCCTTTTTAGCAAATGGCAGTGCGATGTTACTGCCTGCGTTTCACGCAGGCTGACCACCAGTTTTTGCATGAAAGCCACGTCTTCAGCAACATCAGTCGGATTCTGGTGAAATCAGATGATGAAGAGACAGAAGATGCAAACGCAGAAAATTCACAGGTAAAACTATTTGTGTTGAGGATCTATGAATTGACACACCTTTTAATTTCACTCTGTTTAAGCACCCAGTGTGGATCACATTCGTTTTCTTAGTGAAGAAGTGTACTGCGAAACTTTGCTAACCATCCTGCAGCATTGAATATCTTCAGCTGAGCTTAGTCTAGCATGAATATATTGGGTGGGGTTCTTAGTGAGGATCAAGCTCTCTACATTAGTGAATTGATCTGTAGTATGAGCTTATTAACCATCATCTTATATACAGGTATCCATTTTGACTTTAATCTTTAGTGTAGCAAATTCATTGCATTTAAAACTTCAGATGTGCTCCATTCTTTAGTTCCACCTGTTCAGATATTTATAGCCAAGACATACCGTGCCACTTCCTCAGAGTTGAATCATCCTCATTTCCTCTTTACTTCAAATGTAAGCAGGAAGTTCCACTCAGAGTTTCTTTCTTGTGTATTAGACTCGAACTTAGATTCTTCCTTGAACACTACAATCTTAACCTCATCAAATCAAGGGTCAATCATTTCTTATCCTCTTAATCTTCATTTTCTGCCACCTCCTCTTGCATTCACACTCATTAACCCTCTATCTTGGATGGCTCTCAAATCTTGTATTGAATGAAACTTAGTATAAAAAATGGGTTGCTTTACAGTTTTAACCTTTTTGTTGTCAATCTTTTATTTCTTGACTATAGAGGAAGGAAATGAATCCCTTGTTTTCTTTCAGTTTTGGGAATTTTCTGCTTTGAATAAATAAGCAATAGTGACTTCCAGTAGTTTTTAAGGGCTTGTTAAATTTGAAGAGATGTTGAGTTTGTTCATAGCAATTGACAATGAGTATTTCCTATGACATACAAAGCTGGTCACTAGTTTGATCAATGTTACATCCTTTTTTTTTTTTTTTTTTTTTTTTTTCTGAGATTAAAATCAAATTCTCACATATGAATGTTGGTTATACACCTATGTTTACAATGTTATTTTGTTTTTGTTATTGAATCTTGACATACACAGTTGTCCTACCTAATAATGTCTTTCATCATATTTTCCTTGACAGTCAACCAGCCAACTCAGTCTATGGAAAGACTTAACCTATTCCGCTGATATTAAGGCCTCCAGTCGACAAACTATGATTGCCAGTCTGACAGGTAAACTTATATATTTTTCTTTCAGTTTTTTGCAGATATCAAAAACAGTGGAAGCATCAACATCTGAATAGGGTTTTCCTTTCTGTGTGTATGTGTGTGTGGCCATATATACAGGGGCATGGAGAGAGATAATATGTATGCGTATATAGCATAAGTTTGTGTGCATACACACACACACATGATAAGAATATAGTTTTAAGGAATGCTATATTTATGAGTGGACACTGAGGTCAACACCGAGTGGCGACAGTCTGTTTCATGCTTGAACATGGCCTGAAGATTACATTCAAGCATGGAACAGACTATCACCACTTAGTGTTGAAAACTGTCCACTTATATACTGGCGAAAATAAGTTTAAGGCCAATGGTTAAAGTTTTGTTCATATCAGAATATGTTTCTAATAAAACAATATAAATTAGTTTTATTTTGTACACTTTATGCAGAATTTATTTCTCTTTTGAATGATGTAAAAATTGTATATTTTTCTGCAACCTGAAAAATTTTAATGCTGGATTAATTTAAATTATCCAAATTTGCCGGCAAAATAAGTTTAAGACTGCATGGGTATGATGCAAATTATTTGATAATGGTTGGTCACATGGCTGATCATTAATGCATTAAATAGTGTAATAACTGAATATTGTTACACAATTTATTCACTATGGGAAAACGTAGTCTTAGCCTAGTGACTAGATCAAAAATAGTGTTAATTCATCAACAAAATGTTTCCTTTATGAACATAAGCAAGCAATTAAAGTGCAGCAAAATGGATTGTGTTCAGGCTTGGAAGCTTTACCAGGATACTGGACAATATAAGGATCAGCAAAAATCGGAAGCCCCAAGAAAGATGACAGCACAACTGGATAGATGAATTCATAGGCTTCCCCAAGTTGACTGAATGCTGACGGTCATGGACATTTGTAGTAGCCAATTATTTGGTAAAACTGGTGTTAGTTTTACATTGCAAACTGTCCAAAACTGTCTGAGAATTTGGATTATTTGGGTGAATTACTAGAAAAAAGAGTGGCTGAATTTCACAAAAAGTCACGTTCAATGGACGGCCGATGACTGGTGTTGAGTCACATTTTTTCATCTTTGGATTGGATGAAAAAAACTTGTCAGACACTGCCCAACTGAGGAATTCCATCCTAAATGTGTCAAAAAGACGGTGCAAGTGGGAGGCAGGGGTGTAACAGTGTGGGGGTGTGCTCAGTAGCTTTGGTATTGGTCCAATTGTTAAATTGTTGGTCCATGATCCTTTCCTTAGCTCCATAGTAAGTGCTTCACCAGTGCTACATATAGTTTTGAATTCAGATTTGTAGTTCTCATAGGCTGTTTGCCAACCAAGGCTACTCTACTATTTAACCCCTGGTTGGAGGTTTTGATTCCAGAGTTATTCCCTTAGGCTGCTTGCCTTCCAAGGGTATGTGAATGTAATAAACTCAACTAGAATTCAAACTTAGCTCTCTGATTCTTCAATCAGAGCTGCTATCCATTACTTTACTGTGCCTCCACATCATTCCTTGACAATGCACTTAATTTGGTGGTGGATAGTAATTGCACAGATTGAACCATATACAGTGAAAATTTCAGATCCAAATTCATTTCCTAAGTGTGCTTACTTATTTGTTCTTATCTCCAAGGAATCATGAAGATGTCTCAAGATGTTGCTAGTCTGAAATCATTGGATTTTCACTTTTTTCTTAATTCTTATTTTTATTATTTCTGTTGCAGACAGTTCCACAGAGACATTCTGGGAGAGCGGTGATGAAGATCGCAACAAGACAAAAATTATCAATGTCATTTGTAGTATGCAATGTAACCCACGGCTGATTGCAGTACATATCGACAACACACGAGATTTAGGGGTAAGTTACTTGCTACTCCCACCTACAGCAATTAGATGATGGATAAGAATGATTTTAATGGCTATAAATTAATAGTTATGAGTTTATAATTAATATTTCTTTTGTTTTAGTTTTATTACAGCTTTCAAACCACCATTGTTAGTATATAGCATTGATTGGAATAAAGACTAAACTTTTGATATCTCTTATTCTCTTAATGCCTGAAATCCTGTCTACCTGGGTGGCTGCCTTACCAGTTAGGCAATAGAAACAAACAATTACAGAAATTCAGCTTTCACCTTCTTTATTTTTCCTACATGTCATAATCATGATCGGGAGTCCTGTAACCCATTAGGATAATAGGAGCACCATATGTACTGCGGCTCTAGAAGTAATGGGTGTGTGTGAAAGTCAAGAAAACTTGATAGAAGGTATAATCTTTCAGGCTGGTTCAGAGTTGTCCTTCTCTTAGATTAATTGCCACCCAAGTTTAGAGAACACAGTTTGTTTCTTTTGGAATTTTAAATAATGTACTGACAACTTTCTTTTTATACACAGTAATTTTTTCTGATATTGACAAAATGCTTTTGAAATGTTTTTAATGTACTGATAGTTTGTTTTTAAAAAAAAGAACATTCTTAAATGCTCTGAAAACATCTTGGTTATTTCCTATTGAAATATGGTGTGTGTATAAATATTTGTTTACTTATCTTTTCAGAATAAAGTTTCTCACTTACAGTTTTTTTCTGGTCCCGCTCCTGAGGAACTAATAAAACTTCGTCAGGTGAATATTTAAACAGGTTTTCACTTTTCTAAAGATTGAGATTTTGTCTGCTGAACAAGAATAAAAAAAAATTTCTTTTTTTAATTTTTCAGTAATTTTCTAGTCCACCTTGATCAACAACTCATGACTTTTTTGTAGATCTTATCAAACATCAAAAATATTTTTTTAAATTTGACTGTCTAAAGGTTTTCTTGTCTGAAGTTTATAAATATTTGTACGTTACTTGTGTGTATGTGCAGGGTTTTGTTTTGGGGAGCGTGGAAGGCCAACCAGTGTCAAGTGGACAAAAATGCACTAACAAAGAAGTTGTAGAAATTCAGGAAAATGCTTTGACTAATTTTACAAGGAATAAATTGTTATATATTTACATGAAAGAGTTGGTCCAAACATTCAGGAAACTTTTGTATCAATCTAATACATTGAGGACTTGATCATAATATAATGATTAGATCCACATTAATATTGGCATGTTAGTGAAGCCCAGAATACACCAACTGCATCTGCTACAAATGAGTAAACAACACTGCAAAAAAAAAAAAAAAATAGGATAAAGGAATAAAGTGGCTCTACATACCTAGTGAATTCTTGCATAAATTCTGGTATAAACCTGGCCAGTGTTTGCCTATAGACCCGAGTATAAATCTAGCCAGTGTTTGCTTATAGACTTGAGTATAAACTGGGCCAGTGTTTGCCTATAGACTCGAGTATAAACCGGGCCAGTGTTTGCCTATAGACTCGAGTATAAACCGGGCCAGTGTTTGCCTATAGACTCGAGTATAAACCGGGCCAGCGTTTGCCTATAGACTCGAGTATAAACCGGGCCAGCGTTTGCCTATAGACTCGAGTATAAACCGAGCCAGTGTTTGCCTATAGACTCGAGTATAAACTGGGCCAATGTTTGCCTATAGATTCGAGTGAAATATAAATATATTGATATTAATTAACCCAACAGTGGTTGATTTATTATGAAATCTACCATCTGAACACGAGCACACATTATTAATTTCATTTCAGTAGGGGTTTAAACAAATTGTACATTTTTATATCTTAAAATTACCATTGAAATCTTGCAATTAAAAAAAACTTTCAGTTATGTCCAAACAGAAACGCATAAATCATTGTGTAATTAGACACGTATGGATTGCAATATTAAAGCTATGAATGCCTCTTGGTAGCTTGAACCACCATAGATGCTCATTTCATTCACTGCCTATTCCCTAATACAAAACCATTCTGGTTATGATGATAAACTACATCCGGCAGCAATGTCTCTGATAGGGAGGTTTTGATGAGTGTGGAACCACCTTTTAATTGCTGTTGTTTCCAGCTTCACACTGACCCAGGGTGATAGTACCTGTCAGGGACCTAGCTATGGGCAAATAGTGAACCCCCAAAACTGGAGTCAAAACATGAAAATATAAAAATACATTACAAAAAATTACTAGCAATACATTTTTAGAGTAAAGAAAATAAAATTTTGGCATTAAATGACTCATAAGAAGTTGATATGCCATTAAACAAACCAAATCTAATCAGTGTGTGGTGAATATAGTGGAAAATGACAATTCAATGAAGGGGAGAAAATAAAATAATTCAAACTTAATTTGTATTGGAGAATAAACAAATTATAAATAAAAGTTAAATTTCCCTCTCACTTTAGTATTCTCTTGATGTAGAATTATAACCAATGTTTGTTGTATTTCATTCCGTCATATATATTTACATCAATAAAAAATTTATTTTGTTTGAAGAAGTCTTTTCGAAGGATGAATCATATAACATAGGATTATTTTCCTAATTTGTCATTCAATTACCCACTATTAGTCTGATACATGGAATTTATGTCTCATATTCACCTACACAAAAAAGTTTCAGTGAGAAAGATTAAACCTTGGATGATATTATTAGAAAATAATAATTAGACAGCCGCCTTTCCCCCTCTATTATTTTGGCCTTGTGCCATGATTCAACTTGTGTTTATATGAATAAGTATCTGTAATTATTTTCTCCAGGTTGAAATAGAAGCACGTCATGTTGGCTGGGTGAACTGCTATCTCCCAGAATCGAATTGTCGTCATATGAAGCTCGAACTGAAAGGTCCTGATAACAGCTTGCGTTTACGACAAGTAAAGGTACTTGGGGAGATCGAAGGCAAAGAATGTCAGATCCGAAACACTAAAAACACACTCAAGATGCAACAAGATAACTGTGAAGCTGAGACACTCAAGGTATTCCGATTATTAACTTCTCAGGTAAGTTGCCTTCCACTTTGAGTATGACATTGATATAAACAAACTTTAAATTTCTGTCTGAATGTCTGAGAGGAATCACCATTACATTTGGATTAATCAATAAAGGAGAAATGACAAAGATACAGCAGCAATACTAAGAAGAGCAAAATGGTGGTGAAGGCAGTCAAGCACCACAGCAACATCAGTAGATAGGCAATAAGAAAATTAGGTTTAAGAATCCCAGTTTTAGATTCAGGATTGTACAACAAGACAATAGCTTAGTGGATTGAAGTTCGTCTGTAAATTTAATGGCATAGAAATTTTAGGTTCAGTCTCTGGCCCAAGTAGTTGTAAGTTAAGCTCTTACTGCAAAAAGACTAAGCAGTAACTAAGCCGTATGAAAAAGAACAAGACGTGATATCCCTAGACATGGACAGCATAATGAGAACAATTTACCTACAGATTAAATAAAGTGTTCAGTTTGAAATTCGCTGAATGTTACCAGGATCAACAGACATCTGAAGAAGTTGTGATAAGAACAACAAAGATGAGGACATTAATCTGAATTAATATCATGTAAATAAGTTTTAAATTATTTGCTTATGTACATAAAGAGACATAATAACATAAGATATACAAACAACACCTTGTTGATGGCAGATACAGGAAGAAAACTGTGGAGACTCTGAGACAAGATAGTAAAGGAAAGTGTGAAGAAAGGACTAACCATCAATTGTAAGAGAACAATGTATGGTTTTACAAAAAGGCTTTCACAGAACTTGGTGTGCACATTTAACTTCTGAATTTTTTACTTATAACACATTTCTCATTCACAAATTGTAAAAAGTGACACAAAACTTGTAGAAAATATTATTTATTATTAAAACAAATTGTAAAAAGTGACACAAAACTTGTAGAAAATATTATTTATTTTTAAAGTTTGAGTAAAAAAGTCCTAACAGTGTTATTACATAAAACACAAGTATGATTATTAACAGATATTTTCTAGGGGACATAAATATCCAATTAAACAGATTTCTAGGTGGCATACATATCTAATTAATAAATAATATATATGTATTTTATTTTTTACTACAAGTGATAAAACAGTCTCACTAATCTTTTACTGACTTTCAGAAATGATGTTGAAATGTGGTGTGTTCACACAATATCATCTAACAAAAATGTTCAAAACAGACATTTTGACAGCATGAAACATTCTTCCTATCATGCAATGAAGGATGCTTTTTGTATTTCTCTGTCAGACATTTTTGAATTGTTTGCTTTTCTTTTGCAGGTATTTGGTCGACTTATTACTGATGATTCTGCTGAAGACAAATTGGAAGAGAAGAAAGTTGATGATGTGGATGGTGAATCTGGAACAGCTAGAGATAATGATTTGAAAGAACATATGTTGGGTATTCTGTTCAGTCGAGGCAGCAAGTTGTCACATTTGCAAAAGCAGGTAAAAAGCTCATTAACAAAAATTGGTCATTCTTTCATTTTGGATCATTTTTTTTTTTTTTATATTTAGAAAACTGTCCAACTTTGCACAATCTCTCATGTGATTATAAAACGTATAGGTGTGTACATGTTTCTGTATTCATGGTCATCCGTGGGTGGAAAACACCTTATTAACTTAACATATATATATCCAATTACTTAGCCTTCAAAATCTATCATATATATATATATATATATATATATATATATATATATATATATATATATATAAATGGTGTAATCAAAAAGTATCAGGACCGGTGCAATAAAAGAAAACTACAACATATATCAATTCAGCATTTAATCTCCTTTGAAGTAGTCTCGTTCTAAAGTCACACAGTTTAATCTTGGAACTCCTTTTTTGTGATAGTGAGTAGCTACCTCATTGCATTCTCTTGCATTTCCTCAATGTCTTGAAATCTTGTTCTTTTCAAGTGGAATT